GGGTGAGGATGGGGGTGGAGAGAGGGACAGAGAGAGAGGGGCAGGCAGAGGGGAAGACACAAAGTAGATTGATATTGCTATTCGCTATTAGAGAGCCTGGATATAGGACAGGCCAGATCATTCTTTCCAAACCAAAACAGCTTTCATCCATCACTAACATTTCTGGGTTTGTTTCTGTTTTATTATAAATATTCGAAGAAAGATAAACAGACAAGAAAGACTGTTTGTACAGTACACAGACCCCGATAGAAAATACAGAGTGGGGAAGAGAGCCAACAACCAACAAGGTAACAAGGAGAGCCCAACGCGGGAGAGGACCAGCTGGTGGCAGGTGCCCTCCTGGGTCGGCTTGAGCACAGAGCAGTGCGGCCTCCCCCCGGCTGACAGGCCCGCGCAGGCTGGCCTTCCTTCCACGGGGTGAAAGGGCAGACGTGATAAATGATTCATGGGGCATTCACCTCAGTAACCCAATACAAGAAGCTTGCTATTGATCGAGATATCCTGCTTTTAAAAACACCTTCCCACCCCAAATGTGATCTCACAATAGGACCCCACTGTCAGAACCCAGGCCCGGAGCGGGGTTAGGGGTGTGCACCGCTGGGGCTGGGGCTAGGGCTGGGTCAGTTTCCCTCCAGGGGCCCTTCTCACCAAACCCATGTTCCTCCTGAGGCCGGCAGCAAGGTTTAAAAACATTCCTGTCCTGCACTGCACTGTCATCCACTCGTGAAAAAGAAAATATTTAAAAAGAATTCAAATTCATGAGAGAGAAGGTCAGCCTAGGACAAAACCAGCGTCCTTCCCAGGAGTGACCAGGGGACCACCGGGGGACGGCAGCTCTAACTCAGTCCCAAACGGCAAAGTCAGGGAGTGAAGCTCATCACCTCCCAAAGGCGTCCTTACTTTAGTGTGTTCAGAACAGCAAGGCTGTGAGGACTGTTCGATTCAGGTGGTGGTGGCGGTGGGAGTGGTGGCAGCAGCCATGTATTTCCTGCTCCCTCTAACTTGTTTAAGTTTACAATCAGAGATTGCATAGAATTTAAGTTTTCCATCAAAAAATGAAAATTCTCTACATGAGAGTCCTACTTGGTGAAAACCAGCTATGGCCACGCAGCTGCCAAGAGACGCATCCCTTCCATTGAGCGAGGGCTCCGGGTCCTGCAGGTGTCGGACACGCAGGGAGGGGCGGGCAGCCGTCTGACCAGGCGGCATTGCGATGGTTTGCAGGTGGTGGAGGAGTTCAGTGCTTTCCTGAGGCTGCTCGGACTGTAGCCCAGGCCGAGGTGAGGGCTGAGGGTTCCTGGCTCCCAGGCCTGCGTGTTGGTGACAAGACCCACACCTCCCAGGAACATGGCAAACCTTTGATTGCTTGAGGTCATTTCATTAGTAAACACACACACACATGCATGCACACCCACGTGCACCCACCCCCACACACACCCACGTTTGCACCCAGTCTCCTATCTATTAACAAGAACTCCCCCAGCCACGATAGCTGCGGGCCTGGCTCCCAGGCAGCTGCAGAGTCTGGTAAAAGGAGATGCAGGTGGCAAACCGTGGGGCACACACAGGGTGCCCTCCTTCCTCCTCTGGCTGCCCCACCGGCAGCTGCCTCTGCTCCGCAGACAAGGCCCCGAAAGGCTGTGCCCGCTGTCCTCTCACCTGTCTCTTCCTTCGAGGTCACACTCACAAAAGACCAAACCAAACCAAGAATAGTAAAAACCAGAAAGGAAAAAAGACACGTTTACCCCTGGAACCTGTGAGTTAACTGGTTGGGGGATCTGGAACGTGAGACGCCCAACCTTGTTCTTCCCCAGACGCTTCTGCCCCT